GTGCCCTGCCATCTTCACTGGCGTCACCGGTGTCACCTCCTGTGTCTGTCCCCAGCCCCAGGCAACACCACCCCCCTGCGCATCGACTCCCCGTCCTCCGCCGTGGTCGAGGGACAGACCCTGGACCTCAACTGTGTCATCGCCAGTGGCCCTGCCCAGGCCACTGTCACCTGGTACAAGCGCGGGGGGACCCTCCCGGCCAAGCACCAGGTAGGGGACACTGAGGGGATGTCACTGAGGGGATGGGTGAGGTTGACCCCCAGCACTGTGCAAGGCCGGGTGGCCCTGGGCAAGTCCAAGTGACCCCACACAGGATCAGGAAGCTCCACCCAAGCCCTGATGGCCCATGCAAGGTCAGGTGGCCCTGGGCAAGTCCAAGTGACCCCACACAAGCCCTGGAGGCACATACAAGGTTGTGTTGCCCGTGGAAGCCCATGCGAGTCCAAGTGCATGGTCAGGTGGCCACATTGAAGTCCAGGTGGCCCAAGTGAGTCCTGGTGGCCCCATTCAAGCCCAGGTGGCCCATGTGAGTCCTGCTGACCCCATTGAAGCCCAAGTGGCCCATGCAAGCTCTGGTGGCCCATTCAAGCCCACATGGCCCCATGGAAGCCTAAATGGCCCCATACAAGTCTCAGCAGCCCCATGGAAGCCCTGGTGGCCCTGGTGACCCCTCTGTCCCTCCCCACAGGTGTCTGGCTCCCGGCTGCGGCTGCTGCAGGTGACGGCGGCCGACTCGGGCGAGTACGTGTGCCGGGTGACCAGCGGGGCCACCACCAAGGAAACCTCCATCATGGTGACCATCCAGCCCAGCGGGGCTGGTGCCTACCGTGAGTGGGGACAGGGGACACGGGAGGTTACCCGTGGGTGGGTGTCACTGCCCCTCAGTGTCCTGGGATCTGGGGTGAATCGCTCCCTGGAGAAGACACCCTGTGCGTGCCCATCCCAGATTCCCGGGCTCCCGGTGTCCCTTGGGGGGTCACATGTGGTGATGGCCATGACCTTTAACCCTTCCCATCCCCAGCCCCGGGTAACACGACCCCCCTGCGCATCGAGTCGTCATCCCTGTCATCCCCCGTGACCGAGGGACAGACCCTGGACCTCAACTGTGTCATCGCCAGCCCTACCCAGGCCACTGTCACCTGGTACAAGCGCGGGGGTTCCCTCCCGGCCAAGCACCAGGTAGGGGACACAGAGGGGATGTCACCGAGGGGGGAGGGGGGTGACCCACAGCTCTGTGCAAACTCAAGTGGCTCCACACAAGCCCAGGTGACCCCAGGTCAGTTGGCCCTGGGCAGGCCCAGGTGACCCCATGACTGTGGGAGCTCAAGTGATCCCACGCAAGCTCAGGTGACACTGTGGGAGCCCAGGTGGCCCATGCAAGCCCAGGTGACTCCATACAAGCCCAGGTGGCCCAGGGAAGCCCAAGTGTCCCTGTGCAGACTCGAGTGGCCTTGTGCCATCCCAGATGGCCCCGTGCCAGTGCTGATGGCCCTGGTGACCCCCGTGTCCCCTCCCCTCAGGTGTCTGGCTCCCGGCTGCGGCTGCTGCAGGTGACAGCGGCCGACTCGGGCGAGTACGTGTGCCGGGTGACCAGCGGGGCCACCACCAAGGAGATCTCCATCATGGTGACCATCCAGCCCAGCGGGGCCGGCGCCTACCGTGAGTGGGGACAGGAGGTGACAGGGAACCAGGGAAGAGTGTCATAGGACGAGAGGTGACCGTCTCCTCTCTGTCCCCAGCTGCTGGTGTCACCCCCCCTGTGCGCATCGAGTCCTCGTCCTCCTCTGTGGCCGAGGGACAGACCCTGGACCTCAACTGCATCGTGGCCGGGCAGGGACAGGCCACTGTCACCTGGTACAAGCGCGGGGGGTCCCTTCCGGCCAAGCACCAGGTAGGGGACACCAAGGAGCATTTTAGGGTGGGAAAGGGATTTCTGGGGGTGTTGAGAGGTTTGCGTCCCCATTCTCACCTGTGTCACTCCCCGCAGGTGTCGGGCACCCGCCTGCGCATCCCGCAGGTGACGGCGGCCGACTCGGGCGAGTACGTGTGCCGGGTGACATCGGGCAGTGCCACACATGAGACGTCCCTCATCGTCACCATCCAGACCGGCGCTGGCTCCTCTTACGGTACAAGGGGTGGGGGGTGACACAGGGACACAGTGGGGACACGGTAGTGCCCCCGCTGACCCCACTGCCACCCCCAGCTGTCGGTGTCACGCCGCCGGTGAGGATCGAGACCTCCTCTGCTGCCGTCACCGAGGGACAGACCCTGGACCTCAACTGCATGGTGGCAGGACAGGGTCACCCCCATGTCACCTGGTACCGGCGCGGGGGGGCCCTGCCCCCCAACAGCCAGGTGGGACACAGGGGAGGTGGCGTCACCCCGCAGGGCACAGCCCCACGACAGGCACTGATGTGTCCCTGACATGTCACCTCCCCAGGTGTCGGGGACCCGCCTGCGCCTCGCCCAGGTGGCGGTGGCCGATTCAGGGGAGTACGTGTGCCGGGTGACCCTGGGCAGCGTCACGCAGGAGGCGTCTGTCATTGTCACCGTGCCCAGCAGCGCCGGCACCTACTACCGTGAGTGCGAGTGAGATGGTAGTGCCTGGGGACAGTCGGGTGTCACCTCAGTGATAAACGTCCCCTTTCCCTGTCTCCTCCAGCCTCTGGTGCCTCCCAACCCCTCCGCATCGAGTCCTCGTCCTCGGCCATCGCCGAGGGACAGACCCTGGACCTCAACTGCGTGGTGGCCGGGTCTGGCCCTACCACCGTGACGTGGTACAAGCGTGGGGGGTCCCTGCCCATCGGCCACCAGGTAGGGCACAGAGGGGGGGGTCACCTTGAGTTTGTCCCATCCCCTGCTCTACCGTACTGACTTGTCCCCAAATTGTCCCCTCCGAGGTGTCGGGCACCCGCCTGCGCATCCCCCAGGTGACAGCGGCCGACTCGGGAGAGTATGTGTGCCGGGTGACATCGGGGGGCGTCACCCAGGAGACGTCCCTCATTGTCACCATCGATGACGGAGCCAGCCCATCCCACTGTGAGTGCCACCCTCTGGGGGACGGGTCCCCAGCGGTGTGGGGACGGCTGGGGACAGTCACCCCAACCCTTCCCATGCAGCCTCTGCCATCACACCGCCCATCCGCATCGAGTCCTCGGCGTCCTCCGTCACCGAGGGGCAGACCCTGGACCTGGACTGCCTGGTGGCTGGGGAGGGACAGGCCACCATCACCTGGTACAAGCGTGGGGGGTCCCTCCCAGCCAAGCACCAGGTAGGAGGGGGCACCTGTGGGGTGGGGGGCGGTGGCTGTGGGCGGCTGGTTGATGCCACCACCCGGTGTTGTGATGTCCCCAGATGTCGGGGTCCCGCCTGCGGCTGTCGCAGCTCTCGGTGGCCGACTCGGGGGAGTACGTGTGCCGGGCAGACACGGGCAGCGTGTTCCGCGAGGCCACCGTCGCCGTCACCGTCACCTCCCGGGACAGCTCCAGCTACCGTGAGTGCCGCTGTGGGGTGGGGAGGATGGCGCTGGGGTGGGTGATGTGGGTGACCTCGTGTCTTCTCTGTCCCTTTGTCCCCGCAGGCCTGCAGAGCCCCATCATCTCCATCGACCCTCACAGCATGGCCGTGGCACCGGGGGAAGACGCCACCTTCAAGTGCCGCGTCCACGACGGCGCCCGGCCCGTCAACGTCACCTGGCGGATGGGACCTGGCCAGCACTTCCAAGGTATGGTGGTCCCCAGGGTGGCCCTGGCATGGCCCCCAGCGCAGTCCTGGTGCTGATGGCCCCTCCTTGCCCAGACAATGTGAAGATCAGCACCAATGGCTCCGTCATCTCCATCACGGGTGCCCACGTGGGCAACCAGGGTGCCTACCACTGCGTGGCCTCCAACCGCTTCGGCGTCGCCAGCAGCGTCGTCAACCTCGTGGTGCAAGGTATGAGGTGGCCGTGGTGGCCCTGTCCCTGTGTGCTCCAGATGCCCCCAGGGTGGTGGTATCCCCATTGACTCCTCATATTGGTGTCTCTCATGGGCTTCAGGTCTCCCTGGGGGGGGTGGTGTCCCCATCCTCACGTTCTCCAGGTGCCCCTAGGGTGGTGGCATCCCTGTCCCTGTCGCCTTGCCGGTGTCCTCACGTGCTCCAGACACTTCATGTCCCTTCCATGCTTCACCTGGAGTGGTGGTGCCTGTGTCCCCATGCTGGTGTCCTCCAGGTGCTCCAGGGGTTGTGACGTCCCCCTCCCCATGGCGATGTCCTCCATGGGTTCTAGATGTCCCCGGGATGATATGTCCCCATCCCTGGCTCCTCCATGTGCTCTGGCTGCCCCTGGAATGATGGTGTCCCCATCCCCACTCCATGCCCCTGTCCTTCCCGTGCTCCCGATGTCCCCAAGGTGATGGTGCCCTCACGGTGGTGTCCCCATCCCCACACCTGTGTCCCCCTCCTCCTCCAGGTGCCCCCACCGTGTCGGTGATGCCACCAGGCCCCGTGACGGTGAAGGAGGGCAAATCCCTGAGCCTGGAGTGCCTGGGGCGGGGTGAACCACGGCCGCTGGTGCGCTGGAGCCGGCTGGGCTCCCGGCAGAAGGTGGAGCACCAAACCCTGCTGCACATGGACAGCCAGGCCATCCTGCAGGTGAGGGGGCACCCCGGGGTGTTGCAGGGCACCGGGAGACGCCCAGAGCTCACCCCACACGCTGTCCTATCACCCAGCTCTCGCCGGCCAAGCCGGAGCACGCCGGGACCTACGTGTGCACGGCGCACAGCGCGCTGGGCTCGGCGCAGGCACGGGTGGATGTGAGCGTGGAGTCGGCGCAGCAGCGGCAACCGGGCGCCCCCGAGGTCACCGCGCCGGCCACCGTCACCGTGGTGGCCGGGGACACGGCCACGCTGCACTGCACGGCCAGAGGTAGGGGCGGGAGGGGTGGTGGGAGGGGGAAGGGGATGGGCATGGTGGGCGGTGCCTGACGTGGTGGTGCCGCTGTGGCCGTAGGGGACCCGACACCGCGCATCGAGTGGTCGAAGCTGCGGGCACCCCTGCCCTGGCAGCACCGCGTGGTCAACGGGACCCTGGTGATCCCTCGCGCCGCGCAGCAGGACTCGGGCCAGTACATCTGCAACGCCACCAGCCCTGCCGGCTCCTCGGAGGTCTTTGTCACCTTGGACGTGGAGAGTAAGGAGGGGGTCCCAGGGGGTTGGGTGTCCATCCATCCATCCATCCATCCATCTATCCATCCATGCATCCATCCATCCATCCCTCCTTCCATCCATCCATCCATCCATCCCTCCTTCCATCCATCCATCCATCTATCCATCCATCCATCCATCCCTTTGCTCCTGGTAGATCCATCCATATCTCTTCTCTACTCCTCCATCCACCCCTTCCTCACAGATCCATCCAATCCTCATCCATCCCAACACCCACCCACCTCCACCCCCCCACACCCCACTCCAGCACCCTCCCTGCCCCGCTGACCCGTTCCCGGCCCCGCTGAAGCTCCGCTCATCCCGCAGCTCCTCCGTACGCCACGGTGCTCCCGGAGGAGGCGGCGGTGCGGGCGGGGGACGCGCTGCAGGTGCAGTGCCTGGCACACGGCACCCCCCCGCTGCACTACACCTGGGCCAAGGTGAACGGGAGCCTGTCGGGGCGCGTGTCCCACCGCGCCGGCCTCCTGCGCATCAGCCCCGCCGCCCCCACCGACGCCGGTGCCTACCGCTGCCTGGTCACCAACCGCGTGGGCACCGCCGAGGCCTTCGCCCGCGTGACCGTCCACGGTGAGCACCCTGCAGCCAGAGCACTGCTGGGCTCTGCATCCCTCTGCAGCCAGGGTACCGCTGGGCTCTGCATCCCTCTGCAGCCAGGGCACTGCTGGGCTCTGCATCCTGCCCAGGTGATACCGGTGCCAACTGGTGCCATCAATGTCCTCTGTCCCTCCCAGGTGGCCCTGCTGAAGGTGTGGACATCAGTGGCGGTCCCCTGGCAGTGCGGGTGACCCCGGGGAGCCTCGTCAAGGGGGTGGGCGGCACCGCCGAGTTTGCCTGCGCCGTGTCTGGGGACCCCCGGGCACGCGTGGAGTGGCTGAAGGAGGGCGGGGAGCTGCCCCCCACCCACAGCGTGCGGGACGGGGTGCTGCGGTAAGGAACGGGGGACGGGGAGGTGGGACCCCCACCCTGACTCCCTGTGGGGTCCCTCACCCGGCTGTGTCCCCACAGGATCCCGGAGCTGGCGTGGGGGGCACAGGGGGTGTACGTGTGCCGGGCCAGCGCCCCGGGCGGGCAGGCGGAGGACAGGGCCACCCTCACCATCCAGGGTAGGAGCAGCACTGAGGCAGAGGGGACCCCTGACCTGTCCCCCATGGGCACCCTGGTACCCCCATCTCCCATACCCAGGGGCACCCCAGAATTTTCCATTTCCCTAAATCCACAGGCACCTGGGCACCCCCCAAGTCTCCCAATGCCCACTGGCACTCCGAAACCCCAAATCTCTCCCCGTGCCCACAGGCACCCCAACACCCTCAATCTCTCCCCACCCCCATGGACACCCCAATGTCCCCATCTCTCCCCACACCCACAGACATCCCAATGTCCCCATCTGTCCCCACATCCATCACCACCCTGGTACCCCCTATGTCTCCCCATGCCCACAAAGACCCCAACACCCCCAATGTTTCCCCATTCCCATTCCCAGTGATCCCCTCATGCCCTCGAGCACCCCATTTCTGCCCATCTCCCACTCCTCTGGTGGCACCCTGGACCGTGATGCCTCCCCATGCCAGGGGGTCACCCCAAAACCCCGCTGTCCCCCCAAGCTCTCCCCAGGGCCCTGATCAACATCCGGACGGCCGTGCAGACCGTGCTGGTGGGGACGACCGTGGAGCTGGAGTGCCTGGGCTTGGGTGAACCCCGGCCCCACGTCACCTGGAGCAAAGTGGGGGGCCGCATCCGGCCCGGGGTGCTGGTGCAGGCTGGCACCCTCACCATCGAGCGGGTGGAGCGGGCGGACGCGGGGCAGTACCGCTGCACCGCCACCAATGCCGTGGGCACCGTCCAGTCCCACGTCATCCTCCACGTGCAAGGTGGGCACGGGGAGCTGGGGGACACACGCGGAGCTGGGGGGACACACAGGGTGTCACGGCAGCCGTGGTGACCCCCCCGTGCGTCCCCAGCTGCCCCCCAGATCGCGGGGCAGCCCGAGGTGAAGGAGGTGTCCGTGGGATCGGCGGCTGTCCTGCCGTGCCTGGCGTCCGGCTTCCCCGTGCCGGAGATCACCTGGAGCAAGGTGAGAGGGAGGGATGGAGGGCGGGGGAAGGCCAGGGGGCACCCCTGTGCGGGTGCTGACCCCACTCTGCTGCGGCACAGCTGGAGGGGGAGCTGCCGGCGGGCGCCAGGGTGGAGGGGAACGTGCTGACGCTGCCGGCCGTGCGGCCCGAGGACGGCGGGGTCTACACCTGCACTGCCAGCAACCACCGCGGCCAGGAGACGGCCTACTACGTGCTCAAGGTCCAGGGTGAGCAGGAACGCACGGGCAGAGGGGTGGGCAGGGTCGGGGGTGATGTCCCCCCACCCCTCCTGACCCGTCTTGGCCCCGCAGAGCACCTGGTGCCCTATTTCGGGCAGTCGCCCCGCTCCTTCCTCCCCCTGCCCACCATCAAGGACGCCTACAAGAGGTTTGAGATCCTCATCAGCTTCCGGCCTGATGCTGCTGATGGTGAGCCCGTGTCCCCCACGTGTCCCTGTGTCCCCCTCCATGTCCCCTCCACTGTTTCCTCCTCTCGCCCTCCTTTATCTCCTATTCTCTTTTCATCTGAGCCCCTCCACTTTATGGGGGGTTTCTCCTCCATCCTGGGGGGATTTTGGGGTCCCCTAGGATGTGACCCCCACCCTGGGTGGGGACCCTCCTGCCTGACCCCCTGTCACCCCTCAGGGCTTCTCCTCTACAACGGGCAGCGGAAAAACAGCGGCGCCGACTTCATCTCCTTCGGGTTGGTGGGCGGCCGCCCCGAATTTAGGTGAGAGCCACAAGTGGGTGCTCTGGGACAAGGGGGGAGATGGGTGCCAGCACCCACCCACACCCCTTGTGCCCCAAAACAACCAGGTTTGACGCCGGTTCGGGCATGGCCACCATCCGGCACCCCACGGCGCTGCGGCTGGGCCAGTACCACACCGTGCGGCTGCTCCGCAACCTCACCTGGGGCTCACTGGCCCTGGACGGGCACCCCCCCGTGAATGGCACCTCCCAGGTAGTGATTTGGGGCGTGGTGGCGGGTACTGGGTGGGGGTCAGGGCGCTGGAGGTGGTGCCCACCCGCCTGTGCCCGCAGGGGAAGTTCCAAGGGCTGGATCTGAATGAGGAGCTGTACCTGGGCGGGTACCCCGACATCGGCGCCGTGGCCAAGACGGGGCTCAGCCGCGGCTTCATGGGTGAGTGGTGGGTTTGGGGGGGCA